GTGGCAGAGTGCACTCACGAACCCTTTCTTGTTTTGGGTTCAATTAGATTGAACAACGTTTGTTTTCCCAACAAAAATCACCCTAATCCAAACGCGTGTCGAAACCTTAAGCGGAAATAATTTAGCGTTTTCGTGTTATTGTAAATGCCAAATGGAGGGTTAACAAATTTTAGTTGAGGAGTTTTAATCCATATAAAAACGATATTTAGTAGCATCTAAGCAAAGAAACAACAAAATGAACAAAACCCATAGAGCAACAGAGGTGGAACGAAATCTGTGTGATATATTACATATTGATTTGGTGTTAAATCGAATTCCTAAATAATATACAATGAAACCAAACCAACCAACACATTTACCAGAGAGTTAATGAAGAAGATGAGAAACCTAAAACCATTTTAAAGAGTCCAAAGAATTTCACTAACCTTTTGTGAGTCTAATCACATTAGCATTCTTTAACTGTTATCTATATGTAACATTGGGTAATGGCTTCCCCATGCTCCCTCCTCCACTCATTATCTTATGGCCTTGACTAGGGACCTCAAGCTTCAAACCTTCAAACCGAGGTATTATCGTACCAGCTCCATCAGCAGCTACAGGCCATGCTACAGGATTGTATCCAGCAATGCTCATGCCCGAAAGATTGTACCCGTTCATGTAAGGGAGATAGCAAGGAGTGTCGGTGGGAGGAGGAGGACAGTAAAAACCGGTCGGTGGCATAATCGGATTGTTCCACGGAATGTTAGGCCCTTGAGCTGTGAATGGGTAACCATAAGGATATTGAAATCCCTGGACACCGTGATGATGATAACCAAAGACGGGAGGACAATGTAAAAGCATCCCATATCCGTTTCTCCCAGGGACGTACGGTGTTGCCTGAAAGCTACTATATGTAGGAGGAATGTTATGATTACTGTTATTGCTCTGGATTCCTTCTTTAGGTATAGCGCGTTTCACCTCCACGCGCTTATTACTCAATTCATGGAAGTTACTCTGCATAACAACCTCAACAGAGTCCTCTGAATCAAATGTAACAAACCCGAAACCCCTCGGCCTGTTTGTCGTGCTGTCATGCATCACAACCACATCGGTTGTGTGTCCAAATTTCTCAAAGTAAGCCTTGAACTCTTCCTCGGTCGTATCAGACGATAAACCCCCAACAAACAACTTTTTTGTCCTACGGTTATTACCGTTACTTGACATTTCATGAGCACCACCATTGTACTGATGAACTTCACTAGCGTATAGTTGCCCGTTCGGCTGTTGATATCTCAGCTGTTCATGTTTTGGAATCGCCTTTTTCACATCGACCTGATAGAAAGACACACGAAATACAGATCAAATCGCAAAGTTACACTTTTCAGCCAAAGTATCTACCAATCTACTCAAATTTTCACTGTATCAATTGAAACCAAAGCCATAACTCAACACATTTACTGGGTTTTCCAAGTGATACAAGACAGTGAACCATAAGCAGAAATGAGTAGGGGAAAAAGTGTTACTTACGGCTCGACCGAGAATGAAATGGGAATCTCTGAGAGCTTTATCAACATCAAACGCATTAGCAAAGCGAACAAACCCAAAGCCTCTAGGTTGGCCAGTGGCTTTCTCCTTAGCAACAAGAGCTCCCAACACAAGTCCATATCTACTGAAATGTTGCCTCAGAGATTCTTCACTAGTCTCTCTTGGTATGCCTCCAACGAATAACTTGTATCGCTCACAATCCATATCCATTAAAAACCCTAACTTTGCAGCTTTATCACAAAACCCACCAAGATCCTTGACCTAATTTCGAAATTCAAAGTCGAAAGATCAGAGCTGTGAAATCAAGACTACATTTAAACCGTTCAAAAGCAAAACCCCCAAAAATTCAAACAGTAACAAGGTACGGAAACCCTAAATTCGTAAGATTCTGGAAACAGTGATGCTAAATTAAGAATTAATCACTGAGAAAAAGAAGAACCAAGAAACATGAAATTGAGAAACCCTAATTTCGGAAGAGAACTGTAGAAATTTTCATAGCGAAGAGGAAAGTTTACCAGATAGGAGAGAAAGAACAGTAGATTGATTTGACACCAGACGACAAGTCGAAGTTAAAAGTTAAAAAAAAAAAAAAACTCTTGAGC